CTCCTCCGCCAGCCCCTGTAACCAGCTCAGCCTTCCTGCTTGGGGAACTCGATGGGGACATCTGGATATGGCAGTAACCACTGGGCCGGGCGTGGCAACCTCAGGAAAAGGTGTTGCTGCCCCAGAATCACCAGGCCTTGAAGAGGCCAGCCCAGCCCCAGCTGACGTGGCTCAGTGGTTAAGTGTCGACTTATGAACCAGGAGGTCACCGTTTGATTCCCTGTCAGGGCACATGCCCGGGTAGCAGGCTCGATTCCCAGTGTGGGGCATGCAGGAGGCAGTAGATCAATGATTCTCTCTCATCATTGATGTTTCTACCTTTCCCTCTCCCTTCCTATCTCTGAAACCAATAAAATTTGTTTTTTTAAAAGAGGCCAGCCCAGACCAGCTAGCACCTCCACCCCTGAGCAGTTTTCACCCACCTCATGCTATGGCTAGTCAAAGAGCTGGAAGAAAGTACAGAGGAACAGGGGAGAGTATGGTTTTGGATTCAGGCTGGTCTGGGTGCAGACCCGAGCTTCCCTATGCACAGGCTGTGTAACTAGAAGCTGAATCCTGAACATTTTGCCGGCAGTTTCCTCAAATGCTGACACCGCCACCATGCTCATCAGGAAATGTGGGGATCAGAAGGACCCGAATGAACCTCCTCGATGGCAGGGAGACCGTCTGTCTTATTTTAGGGGCCCCGCCGCCTGGAACACATCCTTAGATATGGAAATCCCTAATACTTGTTTGCAACCCTGATTTCTCTGGTGCGCAGAGCTCCGCACTCATCACCAAGGAAGTAGCAGATTACAACTCTTTTCACAGTGACTTACGGCCCCAGAAGGACAAGGTGGTGAATTTAAATAGAGGGCATGCTCTTCTTCTGAGCGAGTAGGTCTTCCAGGCTCACAAAACACATAGCGGAGCTGCTAGGAAAGGGGGAACGCCCTTGAAAATGTGTTTTTCCAACTTCCTGGGCTACCACATGAGCGTGAGTGCTAAAACAACAACAACAACAACAACAACAACACACACACACACACACACCTCTCGTCTTCACGTTGTGTGGTTAATTAACCCTCACGGTTTACCTGCACACTTTGGCTTCAAGAAAAGTTATTTTAAGGCAAGAAACAAATGACAACAACAAAAAGTTATGGATGGTAACATAACTATTAACTGGTGGCCCAGAGAACACATGTCCCGCTGGGCACCATCCATAGACATTCTGGGTTATAGGAAACATTCTGAGGACTGAGGTATAAATATACATATTTTTTCTCAGGGTTTCAAGGCATTTTTATGTCTGTAAAACATCCAGTGGGTTAGAACTCTGGGAGTCATGCCAGGCCTATCAAGATCACCCACATCATGTATCTGAAGTGAGTGAAAGAGATTTCAGGTTCTCCACTTTAGTTCATTAACATTTTGCCAGCTCACAGTACACTGCCTTTACAGATCCCGATGGGCAGCTCAGATGTGATTTGCTCAAATAACTTTGCATGTTCCTGCTCTCTTCAGAGGCTACTAAATGCGTAAGGCTGCAGTGAACGTTTAGAAAAAATATTGCTGAAGCAGTTTATTAAGCACATTTTAAACAGCCCAGGCATCACCCAAGGCTAAAGGTTCACTTATTTGGCCCGGCTACACAATAATAGGACTTTAATACTTTAATACCAATACATGAGGCACTGGAGAGGAAAATGAATGTGTTTTAATTGCCTTTGATCCAAAGAGAATTACAATTCAAATATTAAAACTTGGCCAAACCACGGGGCAAAAGTCAGGTTCCCCGCCAACCACATGGCATTGTTCATCTACTTTAAAATATATATAAATATATATGATATATATACACACACACACACACACACACACAACACATATATGAGATATATATATATCTATATATATATAATTGATTTCAGATATATCAAGGAGGGGTATCCATCCTGTGTCCTTCCTGCCCTTGTCCCACTCCTGCTCTCAGCCACTCAGGGTGTGGCACCTGGAGAATCACCCTGACCAGGAATCAAACTGTGACCTCCTTATTCATAGGTTGATGCTCAACCACTGAACCATGCCGATGAAGCCATTCAGAGTTTGGGAGCTGGAAGAGATCTTGACAGATAAATATTCCAAATGCACAACTCACGAAGGCCGTGGGACACAGGGATGCCTGGTGTCCTCCCATGGCCACACCAGTTCTTGACTCCACATTCCTATCTCTTCCTCCCGTGACACTGTGAGGTCGGCCTTGGACAGTGTGGAACAACCCTACATCTTCACATTCTGAGTGGTCCCAAACACCATCTGGGCTGGTTCGGGCAACACAGGCTTTATAACCAGACTGGGGTCTGAGTCCCAGCTCCACCTCTTCCCGGCACCCTGACCTTGAACTAGATAAACCGTCTCTGGGCCTTACTGTACTGAGCTGGTAAAAGGCAGGTGACGGCACCCACCCACAGAGTTGTGAGCACCTGGCACAGCACAGCACAGTTTCTCAACATCTGGAAGGGCCTGGGAGGTTGTTTTGTAAGTTGCAGTTTATTAAAATCAGTATATCTGTTCACTTACACTGTAGACTGTGGTGACTTTGAATATATTATGTATATTTTCACTTTACAGAACTTGTTCTTTCGGGGGCAAAGGAAAGAGATTAATCAAGCCGGTCTGGTGTAGCTCAGTGGTTAAACATTGGCCTATGAACCAGAAGTTCACGGTTCGATCCCCAGGCGGGGCACACGCCGGGGTTTTGGGCTTGATTCTATCTTTCTTCCTTCTTCTCGCTCTAATAATCAATAAAAACTTTGTGTTTTTTTTTTTTAAAAAAGGAGTAATTAATAGACCCCAAAACCTAAAATTCCATGGGCTACTCAACTTTGATAGCAGCGGCCAACTAGCTTTACTGGGAAGTTTAGACAGTAAATCTTCCATGCTCCGTGGGCGCCGGGCCCCTGCGGTAACCACCTCCGCCATCCTGGAGAGAATGCAGCCACTGATGTTGCCCAAACCAGTGAGCTCACCCGCGTCCCAATAACGTCACCAACAGAAACAGGCGCCTGTCCCTGTCCATCTGCCACTATTGTTTCAAGTGGCCTGTAGGCCATCAGTACGATGACTATGACACAAGCTTTAAAAAAGCATTATATGGAGGAGAGGTCAGTGAAAAAAAAAGGGGGGGGTGGACATACGTAATACTTTCAACAACAAAGATTTAAAAGAAAAAAAAGGAGGAAAAACTTAAACACTCTTATTATGCCCAATCTGCCACTAGTATGCCCTGTTTTTTGGAACAGCACAGGTGGTGGCGGTCGCCCGGGTGACCGGAGGGAGAGGGGGCCTGGGAAGCCTGAGCCTTCGGGGGAACATTCCCTCCGTCACTTCGGCCCATCACAGCACTCACCTTTAGCCATGGCCTCGACGTCATCAAGAACGGGGATCGTTTTAAGTTTTACGTGTTCCTGAATGTTGCCTCCTAGCAAGGTCTTAATATCTAAATGCAAACAGGCATAAGGGAGTGTGAGGGGTGCCCCGTGTCCTTCCTGCCCACGTCACACTCCTGCTCTCGGCCATGCAGGGTGTGGCGCCCAGAGAATCACCTTCGGTTTCTCCCCCCGTGAATGGCCCTGAGGCCTCGGCCAGACCAGGGTCCCTCAACCGTGGCACCATTGCCATGAAGGGGTGCATAATTCTTTGCTGAGGAGGCTGCTGGCTGTTTGTTCTGTGCCTTGTGGGATTTGTAGTGGCATCCTTGGTCCCTACCAACAGAGGCCAGTACCCCTACCGACCCCCTCACCCAGTTGGACAACCAGAAATGTCCCTGGATGTTGTCAAACGTGGCCAGGAGCACACAGCCCCAGGCTGAGAACCGCTGCGCAAGGCTGCATGGGAGCTGCCTGTGAGCATGCAGGGAGGAGTGGGCTCCCCCTGCCCCCCACGCCCCCAGCTTCTCCGGGGCTTGTTTCTATCTTCAACAAGGAACCTGACACCCGTGGGGCATGGAGGATGGGCCCTTGTGACTACAATGAAATAACAGCCTTCTCACCGTAAAGGCTCGGGTTCCATCCTGAGCAGCACACTGCAAACTGGCATTAACTCTAGGGAAGGACTTACCGCTTTCCCCTCCTTTCACACAGAAATTGTAGAAACAGCCCAGTTCACCTGCGTCTGTGTGTTATGGGAGGTGGCTGTCGCAACCTCCAGCAAAACAAGCCCACACGAAAAACTCGAGGCAACTGGAAATGTCACTTACTGTCCAGATCGGAGACGGCTCTTTCCTTTGTGGCAGTGAACTGGTCCAGCACATAGGTCACTTGCTAAAATAAAATAAATAAAATACAGATGATGTGTTATAGAATTGTACACCTGAAACCTCTATACTTTTATGAACCAAGGCCACCCCAATAAATTCAGTAAAAATAAATAAAATAACATGAAACTTTCTCATCTAAAGTCCAAAGCCACAATTTAAAAAAAAGAGATCTAACATACAAAAATTATCCCGAATCTGACTGGTATGGCTCAGTGATTGAGCATCAACCTATGAACCAGGAGGTCACAGGTTCAATTCCCGGTCAGGGCACATGCCCAGGTTTCGGGCTCCATCCCCAGGGTGGGGCGTGCAGGAGGCAGCCAATCAATGATTCTCTCTCATCAAGGATGTTTCTATTTCTCTCTCCCTCTCCTTTCCTCTCTGAAATGAACAAAAATATTTTTAAAAATTACCCCGAACCAGAACATTTTTAAAAAGAAAGTAGGTTCTTGGAGATGTTTACATTTTCTAACACCCAGACTTGTTAATGACACTCCAGCGTAAGAAACATGGTTCCGCCCTAACTGGTTTGGCTCAGTGGATAGAGCATCGGCCTAAGGACTGAAGGGTCCCGGGTTCGATTCAGGTCAAGGGCATGTGCCTTGGTTGCAGGCACATCCCCAGCAGGGAGTGTGCAGGAGGCAGCTGATCGATGTTTCTCTCTCATCGATGTTTCTAACTCTCTATCCCTCTCCCTTCCTCTCTGTAAAAAATCAATAAAATATATTAAATTAAAAAAGAAAGAAACATGATCCCTTAGTTCTCAGGATGCTGGGCAGTGGCTCTGTGGCTGGTTGGGCAGGGACCGCATGGCTGGGACACGGGGGCTACTCCCTCCACGCGGCCTCTCATTTCTCCAGCGTTCAGCCTGGGTGTTTTCACTGTGGTCCGGGCAGTGAGAGAACGGGGCTGGAGGCTCGGGGCCGCGGGAAGCGTAAGCCTGACACGAGCACAAGGTCACGTCTGTCTGTTTGCTGAGTTCTTTTGGTCACAGCAAGTCTCAGAGGCAGCCTGGGTTCGACGGGTGTGAACAGTCCTGCCTCTGGAAGGGACGGACGGGAGAGAATCTGGGGCCCCCGGGCACCTGCCACACCAGGGGCCCTGTATCCAGGGCTGGTCTTGAGCTGCCTGTGAGCGCTGCTTGCTCTATCTTGGTGTCCTGGCGGCCTCCCCCTACACCCTCACCCCATGCTGCTGTGTTAAGTAACTGCCGCCAACCTCCTCGGTGAAAATGTGTCAGTTTTGTTTGTTTTTTTAAATATGTATTTTATTGATTTTTTTACAGAGAGGAAGGGAGAGGGATAGAAAGTTAGAAACATCAGTGAGAGAGAAACATCGATCAGCTGCTTCCTGCACACCCCCTATTGGGGTTGTGTCTGCAACCCAGGTACATGCCGTTGACCGGAATCGAACCTGGGACCCTTCAGTCCGCAGGCCAACGCTCTATCCACTGAGCCAAACCGGTTAGGGCAAATGTGTCAGTTTTTAACTTTTCATTCCTCCAGCTGCTAGAGCAAGGGTAAATACCTCCCTTTTCAGGGCCAGGCATGTTTCCCCTGCAAAATGACTATACATTTTCTGCTCTGTTTTTTAAAGCCTTCTTTAAAGCTCTTCATGTTTTTTGAAGTAGACACACTTCCCTAAAAATCATAACAATTCACTACCCTCCCAAGTTTCTGAAAGCAACCCCAACGTGCACCAGCCACGACTGCTACGTATTTAATTTCGCCAACATTTTAGGGAGAAAAAGGGTTCACTTTGTAGTCTTTAGAGTGACAGGTGAAAATGTGATGAATTTTTGTTCACAGATTGGGGAAATGAAACACTCGCCTCTGTGTAATGCTGTCAAGTGATGGATAAAATTAGCTTCTCTAATCTCCATATTTACAAATGCCTTTTAGGTCCAACCACATATTTAAAAACTGATACAGTATTTAACGTGAGTACTTCTCAGGCTGCACTAGAGGCATAGAACACCTGCTGTATGAGGACACAGAGAGTTCTGCGGGCTCCATGACCAAATCCAATGTGCGCTCGCTTCTCTCCAGCTGGGACCCGGAGCTCAGCGACGTATTTGAGAGCTAATGTCTGCTCAGACATTGTGTAAATCAATGTTCTGAAAAGGCAAGTCAACCATGTGTTTCTGGGACATAGAAAAAAGATGCCTTTGGGCATCATGATCCCGGTCCCCAAAGACAACGTGTGTGTGTGTGTGTGTGTGTGTGTGTGTGTGTATGTGTGTGTGCAGGTGCACATACATGTGGGTCCACTCCCCAGTCTATACAGGTATTAGCAAGTGGATGTTTATAAAGAACAAAGGTTTCATGACAAAGGTACCTTCATGCGAAACAGTGGAGAGTTAACGACACTGCCAAAAAGTGAAAGCTAACGGTACCCAAAGATATTTTTCTATAAAAAAAAAAGTCATGAGACCCTTAGAATGGTTAAGCACTTTCATGATGTGTGCTATATTTTATGTTACCTTAATAAAATAAAATGACATCAATTTTGAAGTCATGCTTCTGAACTGTTTTAGACATCACGTGCTGGGCATTTATTTCTTCATCTACAACATTAAAAGATGACACCCGTCTACATTGATGCATGGCTTTCCAGAAGGTCTGAATGAGATTTCAAATAGACACAGGAACTCCGAAACTCCCCGAACGCCACGCACGGCGGGATACACAGACGGGCTCTTACCGGTACAGTCACATTCTGGAGAGTCCTCAGGTCTCTGAAATTGCTGTCGGCCAGTTTCCGGGCCTTTCTGATGTGAGTCCTGAGGTAGTGGTTTGCCATGAAACCATAGATGATACCAATGCTGCGGGGAAAGCATGGGA